ACCATGTTAAAAGATCTACTAATCCAAGATGTCTCCAGTTGGAGGAAGCTTTCCTTTTGAAGACAGAAGATTTCCTAGTAACCTGTTGAAAGAAAGAAATATGAAATCTCAACACAATGAAAAAATTTCATTTCACTTCAAGAAAGTACATATGTGGTAAAAGTCTTGTTTCTATAACTCCAGAAAGAGACACAGAGAAAGGGTGAAAGAATTTACATTTTGATTGAATCACATTACATAGTGAGTTTTGCCTTTTCTTTCTTTGCACTCTATGTTAATTAAAAAAAAAATAGAAAGCATTATTTTTCCATGTTACTAATGAGGTATACAAACACTCCCAAACTTCCACGGGTAGTTGAATCTACAACTTGATAAAACAAGGAACATTTTTGTACCCCTTTATAGTAAATAGAAAAAAAGGGCTGTAAATCCCCAGAGTCATCAAATTTTAATTTCTCCCTACACTTTTACTAACAGCATGTGAATAACAGATTAGAGAATTCACTACTGCATCATACATGTATCTCACCTGATACCATAACCAAACAGTGCTACAGCTATAAAAAGAGCAACAGCAGAATCCAAATACCAGATACTTCTGTTATACTGAAATAACAATGTGCTTAAAATAATGCCGAGAGCCATGNAACTGAAGGAGCAGTCACATATAACCAGACACAAATTCAATAACTGCATGTACTGTCAGGTACTTAAAAAGTAAAAAGCCATAATCAGTAATAATCAAATAATATAATTTCAAACTCACAATTGGCCAATCGGAAGCTATGTGTACTGTCCTAATATCCTGCCAGATTTACATGTATGACAGAATCTCCTAAATTAATACATGGTGCTTCTGTCATTTGAATTTCCTCAAAATTTTTACCAAGAAACTTCACTTGCACATGGCCAATGGGAGGATAAAACCTGCCTGGAAAAGCTACTAGACCCAGGCTATCAGATGTCCAAGATTGACTTTCTTTACAAAGTGAACCTAATGATACCTTTTTTGTAAATAATTTATTATTATAAATACATGTAATTATGTTTTTTTATTTAAAAAAATGGGATTATGAGATGCCTTAATCCTTGCTCACCAAATGAATAAGTAGTCTTAATATTAACTAAAAAATAACTGATGAGAAGATGAGAATCTCCATACCCTGATTGGATGCCTCTCCACAACCAAGGATCTGAGAGCTCGAATAAAAATACCAGTAGCAGATAAAATAAATAATACCGCAATTGCTATACAGGCTCTGAAAAGGAAAAATAAACAAAAGAGAAGAAAAATGAAGGCCATATGTCTACTTAAACACAGTGCCTTCAAGAAAAACAAATAATAATCAATATCTTGGCATATATTACCTTCTTTCCCTTTCCCATGAATAAGTCTTCCCTGCTGCACCACAAAATCTCCAAATTACAACCAATGATGAACAAACATCTAAGAATGAATCAAACTAAAACCGAAATAGACAAGAGCAACTTTACTTCTAAGAACCAATTGAAAGCATGCATTTTATTCAAAGCAGGACTGAATTTTCAATTTAATGAGTAGTTGGAGGCCTCAACAGAAATACAAAACAAAAACAGTAACTTACTGCAAACCCAAACGCCGCAGAGCTTTTAGCTAAACTGGATATAACTACATAAAAAAATTGAGACCCATATTAGATATGCAAGCCATTAGGATAAATGAATAGAAGTTGTATCACTCAGTTACAATGTAGCCACCATCTTAGAATGCCATTGTGGACTAATTAAAACTATAATTCCCAAATAAAAGTTTTGAATTTAACTGGTTTTAGTAGGTCCTGTAAGGCCATTTTAAGACTGTTAAAGTTGTTGTGTATAGGTTGTACCTGAGTTCATGGATGAAAATGGCAATTTAAATACATCCTGTAAAAGGACTACAGTTCAAACAATAATAATTATTGAAACGATTCCCTTTCTCAGGGATGTCAAAAACAACAACTTCTTTTTAAATATTATTAAGAACAATGTTAAACTAATGATCAGATGCTTTCCTCAAAATTTGTTAAAGCTATGTTTGATTGGTAGCAGGACTCTGTGCTGCCCTGTTCTCTGTAGTCCTACTCGGGCTACTTCCAAGCATATTCATTGGGCATTTTATTCTAAAATTAAAATTATCAATTATCATACAAGCCACATAATCCTCACAGAACAAATTGGACTTCTCTAAGCTTAACTATTCACTCCACAATTACTGTTTCAACTACACAATGCATACCAAATGCACTAACTCCGATTACAAAGGTTGTGAATACAGAGGCATACGACACTGCAAGTGCTGCCTTCCGCCATCTGTCCATCAGCTGTGTAGGCAACTGCTTCTCCTTGTGGA